TGGCTGGGGGGTGGTGTGGTGTGGTGTGTGTATGGATAAAGCCAAACACACATGTGTGCACAGCCATGTGCACGCACACACACACACATACACACACACGTTATTATTCTATTTTGGCTGGTTTGTTTTTTTTCTCATGTTTCATGGCATGCTTGGAGCTGCAAAACCAACCCAACACCCCCCTGACCCAGTTCCACTGCCAGGCCGGCTGATGGCTGCCTCGGACCTCTTGTTCCCAGGGTGGATTCACAAGTCCAAATCCCACCTTGTACTCCACTCGTCACTCTCCTTTCCAGCCTTGCCTCCACCTTCTCCTCTCTGACCTTCTTCACTCCAACGCTCCATCCCTCCATCCTCCATCCCTACATCCCTCCATCTTCCATCCCTCCATTCCATCCCTCCTTTGCTCCATCCTTCCATCCCTCCATCGCTCTGTCCCTCCATCCCTCTGTCCCTCCATCCTCCATCTCTCCATCCCTCCATCCTCCATCTCTCCATCCCTCCATCCCTCCATCCTCCATCCCTCCACACCTCCATTCTCCATCCCTGCGTCCTCCATCCCTGCATCCTCCATCCCTCCATCCTCCATCTTCCATCCCTCATCCCTCCATCCCTCCACACCTCCATCCTCCAACCCTCAATCCTTCATCTCTCCACCCCTCCATTCCTCCATCCCTCCATCCCCCATCCCTCATCCCTCCATCCCCCCACCCTGCCATCCTCCATCCCTGCATCCCTGCATCCCTGCATCCCTGCATCCCTCCATCCCTCTATCCTCCATCCTCCTTTCTCCATCTCTACATCCTCCATCTCTCCATCCCTCCCTCTCTGCCCGCATTTTTCTCTTTATTCTCTTTCTGTATTACTGAACCCAATAAAATCTATTTTCAGCCAAACTGCAGCCACCTTCTGGTCTAACCACATAAAGAACACCCCAAATTTGACACTATCAGGTCTCTCTACTCCACTCTCGTGAGACCCCACCTGGAGTACTGCATCCAGATCTGGAGTCCCCAACATAAGAAAGACATGGACCTGCTGGAGCGTGTCCAGAGGAGAGCCACAAGGATGATCCGAGGGCTGGAGCACCTCTCCTATGAGGACAGGCTGAGAGACCTGAGGCTGTTCAGCCTGGAGAAGAGAAGGCTCCGGGGAGATCTTATTGCGGCCTTCCAGTACCTAAAGGGGGCCTACAGGAGAGCTGTGGAAG